TATCTATCTATCTATCTATCTATCTATCTATCTATCTATCTATCTATCTATCTATCTATCTATCTATCTATCTAATCTATCACATTTTTAAACCGCTCATCTCCCTTACGGATTCATTTAGTGATCATTTGAAGTTTCAGTGGCACTGAAAAGAGCGACTTATTTAATACCATTTCAACCTCCCCATGATCATATGATCAAAATTTGAATGCTTGGCAATGGGTTCGTATTTATGACGTTTGCAGCGTCCCAGAGTTCATCACTTTTTGCGACCTTCTGACAAGCAAAGTCAATGGGGGAGCCGGATTTACTTAACAACTGTGTTACTAATTTAGCAGCTGCAGTGATTCTCTTAACAATGGTGGCAAGACAGGTTGAAAAATGGGGCAAAGCTCACTTAACAACCGCCTTGCTTAGCAATGGAAATTTTGGGGTTCAATTGTGGTTGTGGACCATAAGGCTAGTTTGCCTCTAAGATAATTGCAGAACTTCAAACAATTGTGTTCTTCAGGAATTGAGTAAAGGGCCTGACCGCACAGCCAACTTTCACTCAAGTTCAGCTTCTAAAAGGCTAATTACTGGAACATTTAATTGCAATTAGGTTAGCCAAATAGGAAGCCATTATTTGTAGCTCTAGATAAAGGCTGGTCATAGTTTCTATTAGCATTTCAGAATCATTAGCTGGCGGCATGCAAGATATGAAAGAATTGCCTCTGAAATTGTTTGAAAACTCTTTGATTTGAAAGAGTCTTCAGACATTGTAATCTATCTTAAGCCCATCTTTTATCTGTTTATCTCTTTGGATGAATTCTGAACAGGTTAAAAAAAAAAAGTAATTTTCCAACACAATATAGAGTGCTTCGATTATTATCCCATCTTTTTTTTCAAAAGGTGCAAATATTGGAAATTAAATACATGAATTTTTAATGAAATTAAAAGCTTAGATGGAAGACACACTTTCAGGGCTGTGAGTTATCAAAACAAAACAGAGCTTCCCTATGCAGAAGGGCAGTGATGTATGGTTGTGAGAGTTGGACCAACAGGAAGGCTGAGCGCCAAAGAATTGATGCTTTCAAATTGTGGTACTGGAGAAGACTCCTGAGAGCCCCTTGGACTGTAAGGAGGAGAGCAAATCAGTCAATCCTGAAGGAAATCAATCTTGACTGTTCTTTGGAAGGACAGAGATTAAAACTGGAGCTCAAATACTTTGGCCACCAAATGAGAAGAGAGGACTCACTGGAAAAGGCCATGATGCTGGGAAAGACTGAAGGCAAAAGGAGAAGAGGACAGCAGAGGATGAGATGGTTAGATAGTGTCATCAATGCAATGACCATGAATTTAGGCAAAACTCCAGGAGACAATGGAGGATGGGGTTTTTGCAAGTTGTGATCCATAGGGTCGTGAAAAGTCAGGCATGACTTAGCAACCGAACAGCAATAATTCAGAAGCGACACATCTCCAAGTGGGAACCACTCTATGTTGTATGACATCTTGAGAACAGATAAGTCTTGAAGTTGGGTTACACTGACTCTTTGTCTAATGAAACTGCATTGTCATGTTGGCATAGAATCTCTGGAACAATCTGAGCAGTGTCCTCAAAGAAAACTACTAATTTCAAGATGTATCTCAGTCCCCTACTAGCCTGAATGCTAAAACCTTTGGAGAGCACCATTATAGTTATGTATGTACCTATTGTTTCTTATAAACTTCTGGAAGCTTTCCTTCATGGTGGATGGGTAATTGTGGTCTATGCCACACAGTCGCTTCATAAACCTTGGATATAGGTCTACAAACTCATCCACCCTTTGAACCAATGTGTTTCTTTCTGTCTAGGATCCCTGGTATGCTTCATTCCCTTTCTAAGGTGACTTGTCCCTGTGATTTATGATTTAACATCTGTAACCAATTAAGGTTATCTACATGGGGCAGATACCGGAGAGTCACACTCTTAGCTACATGGTGATTAAACTTTGGTCAGAGGTACATGAGGAAGAC